TTTAGATTGGATTTAAAGAATTCCGAGATATAAAATATATTTGTTATTTATTATATAAATAGGGAATTGAACCAATTATGTGTTTGTAATATTTGATTTATTTTTATATTTTTATATTAGAGAAATTTATAATTAATATTTTATATAATTATAAATATATTTTCGTTTGGTATTATTGGTATATATTTACTAATAATTTATATTTTGATGTTGAAATTAATCAAAATTTAAGATATTTATTCGATATAAATTATAATTTGAATTTTTATTATTATTAATAAAGATTTATATAGATTATTTATATTATTTTAAAGAATATTAAATTTAATAATAAATTAGTATTAATTGAACTATATTATAATTTTTATAAATATATATATGTAGTTTTATTTTATTTGATAAATCGATTATGTTTATTTATTTATTTAATAATGATTTATAATAAGGTAAAATAAATAAAACAAAATAAAAATTAGTAAAATAATTAAATTAAATTAATAAATAGAAATTAATAAATAACTAGAAATAAATAAACATATAAATAATAGAGGTAAATAGAAATATATAGAACCAAATAAACAAGAAGAAATAAGAATAAAGAGAAATAGATATATATATATTTATTTTTTTTATTTTTTTTAATTAATTAATTCTTATTTAATTATTATTAATTATTTACTATTATTTATTTATTATATATTTGTTAATATTTATTTTTTATTAGTTATTTGTCGCTTATATATTGTTACTTATTTGTTATTACTTAATTACTATTAATTTTTTATTAATAACCTAATTATATTTATTATTACTTATTCTATTTTCCTATTTTTATTCTCTGCCGTCTTGCCCGGTCAGGTTCTTCTGCCTGGCGCAGCACCTTGCCCCGCCTCAGCCTCAGCCCGCAATTGCTGATGGCCACCTTGGGGCTCTCGCCGGCGCCTCGCCTGGCGTAGGTCCTCGTACCAGAATAGACCCGGCTACACGTCCGCGGCGTTAAAGCGCCGTATTTCTATTTATCTATTTTTATTTGCCTATTTCGATTTATCGTTACCTATATATTCTTATTTATATATCATTACTTGCCTATTTTTATTTATTAATTTCTATCTATCTATTAAAGAAACATAAATTATTAAAATAATAGTACCATCAAAAATAATATAAATACAATAAAATAACAATTAAATAAATCACAAATATACACAACCACATAAAACCGCTAAAATAACATAAAATTACACAAAAACAAAAAACAAAGAAATAAAAACACCGATAAAAATAATTAAAAAAAGAAGAAACAAACAAACAAAACAAAACAAACAAAGAAAAAAACAATAAAACCATAAAACAATAAAACAATAAAACAATACAACACAAAAAAATGAAAGAAACAAAAGAAGAAAAATACATAAGAAGAAAGAACAATCAAAACAACACAAACAAACAAATATAAAAAAAAGAAACAATATAAAAGAAAGAAAACACACATAAAACATACAAAACATACAAAAAACATACAAAGAAAAATATAAAACCACAAAAGAACAAAGAGAAACAGAGAAACAATAAAGCAACGAAACAACATAAACCACGAATTAGCAAAACAACAAAACCAAAAATGGAAAGGCAAAACAAAAAACACAAAGAACCAACACAATAGAAAAATAAAGAAAGAGAGAGAGACATAAAGATAGAAAACAAAAAAGACAAAAAGATGGGCAAACGGAGATAAACAAACATAGACGAAGATAGACCAAAACAGACAAAGATAGACTAGGACAGACTAAAAAACAAAGAGACAAAGAGACAAAGAAGCAACGAAACAAAGAAACAAAGAAACAGAGAAACAGAAAGAAAAAGAAAGAAAAAAGAAAAAAAAAAAACAAAATAAAGAAACAAAGAAATAAAACAAAAGAGATAGAGAAATAGAGAGACAAAGAAATAGAGAAACAAAGAGATGGAGAGACACAGAAGCAGAAAGGCAACAAAAAAGGGCAGCAAAACAAAGACACAAAACAGAGCGACAGAAAGACAGAGAAATAGGGAACCAAAGAGATAGAAAGACAAAAAGGCAGAGAAACAAAAAGACAAAAAACAGAGAGACGAAACAACAGAGCAACAAAAAGAGAGAGAGAGAGAGAGAGAGAGAGAGAGAGAGAGAGAGAGCGACAAGGAGAGAGAGAGAGAAAGAGGGAAAGGAGAGAAAGAAAGCAAGAAGAAAAAAAAGAGAAAGAAAGAAAAAGAGAAAGGAAAAAAGAGAGGCAAAGAGAAAAAGAAAAGAGAGAAATATAACAAGAGAGAAACAAAATAAGAGAGCAAACAAATATGCAAGAAAAAGAATAAAAAAAGAACAAAAAAAGAAATCAACAACCAAAAAACAAAGAAAAACAAAAAACACACAAAGAGAATTAAAAACAAAAAAAAAAGAAAGAGAACCAAAAAAAAAAGAAAGAAGAATTAAAACAAAAAAAAAGAAAAAGAAAAAAAAAATAAAAAAAAAGAAGGGGGAACAAAAAAAAACGAAATTGTCGGAGAAATTACGATTCGAACAAACTCCCAAATTTTCTAGAAATTTATCCCGTCCAAAAATCTAAGAGCCGAATAACCGGAAACGACTTAAAATATGCCAAACATTTCACTACGAAAATTCTAAACAAAAATCTATATAATTTCCCAAAATTTAAACAAAAAATCGAGAATTTGGGCTACGATAAAAAACAAAAACTTGTGCTATAATAAATAAAATTATAATAATTCTATATTAAAATTACGAAATATATGTTTGTTTTTTTTGCGAATTTATAAATGTATTTATATATTAATTAAAGAATAATAATATGCATATATAATATTAGAATATATATAAATAATTAAATCAAATAATTCGTAATTATTATAATTATAATTTTTATAAATATCAAAATACTATATATCCAATATAACCACCATATTTTTCATTAATTCTACAAACAATCCAACCCCAAAAAAACATTTAATTTCAATATCCAACCCCCTTTTCCAAACCAAATATTTTCTTAAATATATTAAATCATAACCTATACTAAACACCTTTTTTAAAACCAATATACACATATATATATATATAATAATAATATCAACATTAACATATTTTCCGAATCTCAAACTACATTTTAAATTCAAATTATTTATTTCATTCGGAACAAATATCAATATATTGAATTTAACAATCATTCTTAATTCTCCATCCCCAATAACAATTGTCAATTTCAAACACAACATTGTGCTTATTCATCTAAATATACTCTCTGTTGTTTTAGAATCAATTTATTTTCCATTTTGTTTTTTTACACATATGGGATATATATATATATATATAATTCAACCAAATAGTTATATGGCTTTTGTAAATTTATGTGCTTCAAAATATCACTGTAAATAAATACGATCAGCCATGAGAAAATCCATGTTTTTCTCGGACCGTCTGATTAGGTCTGATCGTTCTGGCAGTATCCAGGCTCATGAGCGCCGCTTCGAGGTTCAACCAACCCTTCTTGTCGAAGACGCGTTCAATCCTCCGTGTGCCTCCTCAGAAAGACCAAAACAGAACACATCACTGCCTGGAAACAAAGGTTATTTCAGCTTTTGGAGCAGAAGCAGATCAGAGCCACCAGGTCAGCTTGGCTCAAGTGAGAGTCGTTTGGTCAGTGGGAAGATTTGTGTGATTCGAGATTTGCGCAAAAATGGTAAACTGTTTGGAAGGCAACTGTCAAGAACTCGCCAGAGGAAAGGCCAAAAAGCAAAGGCAGCAGCTCAGAGAGCTCAAGATAGGGCTCTGAGAGGGTCTGCCCATTTTGCAGCAAGACTAATTTGAGACGTAACCGCCCAACACAAATACGCGGTTGCCAATGATTGATTCTTTGTGCTTCTTTGCAGTCTGGTCAAAGGACGCCAAGTGGCTACCCCCACACAACGCAATGGAACGCTCGTCCAACGGACAATGGCGGGCGCGACAAACAACAAATCCTTGCACCTCCCAGCAATTGCTTCGTTGCGTGTCCCCCCCTAGAGCGCATCGCGCCATCCCTGCAACCGAGCTTATGTTGATCACTGATCAATAGCTTGCCATTTGCGAACATTGGGTGTTCCTTTCAAACACAGGCACTAGAAGGGGCCCCCTCGGACAAACTCTCAGCTTCGGATTCCACAGGATGATCATCAGGCATAAGAATGAACCCCCACAAGGTTCCGGGCGGGCTCTCGTGGCCAGTGGCCTGGGAGCACGTTGCGGGTCTCGTTTTTTCCCGTCGATTTGCAGTCCGTTTCCAGCTCTAGCTCGAAAGGTGCAACTTTTCAGTATATGTCGACAACAGGATGCAGAGTACGCTTGGCTCTGGCTCGAACCGTCGCAAGTTGTTATGGGTGTGTGGGTTTGAAAGCGGCTTCGCGGCCGTGCTCATGGCAAAGCCGCTTTTTGTGCTCTGTTCGCGCGCGACGCCACCACGCGTCACGGTCATTTCCTTCACACGAGGAGCCCGCCGGCATTCTGATCACTTGAGCCACATGTACTTGAACCCCCAAAAAACAAACGGTGAAACCCACATTTTGGCTTGGGACCCCAAACTACATTGCCATTAGCATATGCTGAAACTCAAGATCTGGCTGGAGTTCCGCAAGGTTCCAACGGACCTTGATGACATGAAATGCACAGTGAAAGCTGGCATGTTTGCAGCAGTGAGCGGGTGCAGTCGAGCGGGAGCGCTTATCATGTGGCTGGCATGTGTGCGGCGCCGTCTCGCTTGAGCATGTCAATGTGTCCCTATCATCTGGCACGCGTCTGTGTGCAGCAGTGAGCAGGTGCAGGCGAGCGGGTGTTCTTATCATTGGCTGGCGCGCAGGAATGAGCGAGCGGAGTCGCGCGGGCGTGCTTATCATTTGGCCAGCTTTTGCACCCAGCTCCGCATTGGCTGCCGTCGTGATTCCTATCAACCGACAATCAAAGTGCCGATGCGCAAGCTAAAAGTCATCACGCCAGAAGAGGCAGACAAGGACGTACAAACATGTCCCAAAAATGCGAGAGGTTCGCTTGGAGAGAAAAGCAGATAGTCGGACAGGCTATGACATGTGAGAAATACCAGCAAACCTGCGCAGTGTGCCCAGGGGTTGACAGTGCTCCAATCCCTATCAACTGCCAGCGCAAAATGAGGTGGCACGTAGAGTGTGCTGTAAATAACGAAACTTTGAATGCTTGCTTTAAGGCTCTGTGCAAAGAGCAATCATAACATGTAGTGTTGTGAACCTTGGCATAGATATGGCCCACAAACCTTTCTAACCCTTGAGACGCCACGCCACTGCTAGTTTGTCAACCTTTGGGTCTCGGCTGTCATTCTCAGGGAAACTTTCGAGCTCCCAGCTCCGACGTCGCCCTGGCACAGTCCTGGCAAGCCGAGCTGCTGGCTCCCTTCGACACAGGCGTTGATCTCGAAACCACATGTTACTTAGCCGAAAATCCTAAGTCTGATCTGAGACGTTTGGGAAGTTGATCAGCAAATCACGCTAAGGACCTACTGGAAATCTCTCACTGGCAACGCCTCATGAGATTCTGAAACCCGCAACACTCCTCCCCCTCTACTCTCCGCTTCCAAATGTGAAACTGCTGGGCATGAAGTCTCTAAATCCATCTAAATCCAAAGCCTTCCGCAAGATTTCAAGATAAGTTCAGGCAACTGGATTCAACCAGGTTCCAACACCTAAATTTGATTCGCCCTCCTTGCGACACTGTCACCTACCCCCTTCGCGGAGCTCGCGACAATTAGTGCAGCATCACCCCCTTTGCCATTGGATCGCGCGGAATTCCTCCCCCGTCCTACCTTGGCATCTGTTTTGCCAGAAGTGGAATTCCGTTTGCCGTTTGCCCCCCAATTCCATAGCGGGCCATGAGTTGTTTTAGGGGTATGCTAACTTAGGGAAGGGATTTCAGGCGTCGCTGCCAGCCTCTCAATGCATGTGCCGCGCTCCGCTGACGCTCTTCACCTCGACTGCGGAAATTTGAAACCTCAGCCTGGATTCAAGATGGGATTGAAAAACCCTGTCGGGGTTCCTATTGTATGAGTCGCAATCAATCTTGGTAAGCAAGTCAACCCCCAAAGCATGCTTTACAAATCACGGCGGATACCTTACGAACCTGCGCTTACCCGGGCATCATTGTGACTCATTCGGGTATCTCTTTTTCGGGGAACCCCTTTGGTTGGCTCAAATAACTTGCGTAAGGTATTGTAAAATGGTTCCCACTTAGTGTCTCATTTGCTCGTCAACGTGTGGCATGGCACCCCTCCTTTGGTCATCTACCAAGCGCTTTGACGGATGCTTACAGAAGTAAGGGCCGCCCACTTTCTTCCAAAGCAATATGGGAATGGGTCAAAATTAAACCACCAGGGGCCTGCAGATTCTAGTGCTATTTGCAAGGGTTCCAAGTTGGGTACCATTCTTGACCCATATGCATATATATATATATATATATATAACAATAATAATAACAATAATAACAACAATAACAATAAAAAACATAAATAATAATAATAATAATAATAATAATAATAATAATAATAACAATAATAACAATAACAATAATAAAGACAAATAACAATAATAATAATAATATAGTGACGGACATACACTTAGAAACAGTTGTGGTTTCCAAAATTTCCGACAAACACTTAGAAACGAAAAAAATACAAACAGTAAATTCAACACTTAGAAACGATTCGGCCGACCAACACTTAGAAACGTTTTCTTCGCCTTTATGGCGATTCTGATGCATATTACCAGCCGTCAAAAACTTAGAAACGTTTCTAAGTGTTGCCCGAGAGGTACCTGCGGCTTCTAAGCATTGGTCACGGGCGTTGCCCCGAGAGAGAAAAGAGCCGACCATGCAAGAAAAAAAACAGCGGAACTAACTATATATATATATATACACAATGAATCCGGAACACAGCACACATGATAGACTTAAGAGATCTTCGGGCAGCCAGACAAAAGACAACCTACAAATCACGAAAAAACAACGATTTTACCAAAAACGGATAAACAAATGACGAGATGATGAAACAATGATGAACCAATATGAGCACAGTATGCAAATGATGAAACAATGAACAATGATAAACAAATTATGATTTGCTGGCATTTATTGTTTTCAGAACTTCCCATGAACATCATCTGTTTTTCATCATGTGTTCATCCCTCCCTTGTTTCAACAGAAAACAACAGGAAAAAACTGCGCGACACCGTGGACAATAATGAAACACATCATAAGGTTAATGAAATGGTTTCGTGGGGTTGCCGGAAGCTTGAAATCAGCTGGGGGCGAACAAATAGAAACGGTTTTTTCAACCCGCTTCTTTTTTCAGAATCTACCAATTGGACTTGTTTGTGGGTATACATGCCCAATACTCCATACATGTCAGCACTGTGTGAGCAAGGCATGATCTACTTACACAAACACACATATATTTGTATATGTACAGACCTTCGTCATGGGGGGATCGCTGCTTTCTTGGGGTTGCCGGAAGCTTGAAATCAGCTGGGGGTGAACACTTAGAAACGCCTCCCCCAACCCCTACCAATTGGACTTGTTTGTGGGTATACATGACCAATACTCCATACATGTCAGCACTGTGTGAGCAAGGCATGATCTACTTACACAAACACACACACACATATTTATATATATATATAGACCTTCATCCTGGGAGCATTGGTGCTTTCTTGGGGTTCCGGAGGCTTGAAATCAGCTGGGGGTGAACACTTAGAAACGCCTCCCCCAACCCCCCCCCCCCCTCAGAGTCTACCAATTGGACTTGTTTGTGGGTATACATGACCAATACTCGATACAGTGAGCAAGGCATGATCTACTTACACAAACACACACGTATTTATATATATATATATAGACCTTCATCCTGGGAGCATCGGTGCTTTCTTGGGGTTGCCGGAGGCTTGAAATCAGCTGGGGGTGAACACAGAAACGCCTCCCCGAACCCCCGTGACCAGTACTCCATACATGTCAGCACTGTGTGAGCAAGGCATGATCTACTTACACAAACACACACACATATATTTATACATGTGCAGACCTTCGTCGTGGGGGGATCGCTGCTTTCTTGGGGTTGCCGGAAGCTTGAAATCAGCTGGGGGTGAACACTTAGAAACGCCTCCCCCAACCCCCCCCCCCCAGAGTCTACCAACTGGACTTGTTTGTGGGTATACATGACCAATACTCCATACATGTCAGCACTGTGTGAGCAAGGCATGATCTACTTACACAAACACACACATATTTATATATATATATAGACCTTCATCCTGGGAGCATCGGTGCTTTCTTGGGGTTGCCGGAGGCTTGAAATCAGCCGGGGGTGAACACTTAGAAACGCCTCCCCGAACCCCCGTGACCAGTTCTCCATACATGTCAGCACTGTGTGAGCAAGGCATGATCTACTTACACAAACACACAAAGACACACATATATATATATATATACATGTACAGACCTTCGTGATGGGGGGATCGCTGTTTTCTTGGGGTTGCCGGAAGCTTGAAATCAGCTGGGGATGAACACTTAGAAACGCATCCCCCAACCCCCCCCCCCCGCAGAGTCTACCAATTGGACTTGTTTGTGGGTATACATGACCAACACTCCATACATGTCAGCACTGCGTGAGCAAGGCATGATCTACTTACACAAACACACACATATTTATATATATATATATATAGACCTTCATCCTGGGAGCATCGGTGCTTTCTTGGGGTTGCCGGAGGCTTGAAATCAGCTGGGGGTGAACACAGAAACGCCTCCCCGAACCCCCGTGACCAGTACTCCATACATGTCAGCACTGTGTGAGCAAGGCATGATCTACTTACACAAACACACACACACACATATTTATACATGTACAGACCTTCGTCATGGGGGGATCGCTGCTTTCTTGGGGTTGCCGGAAGCTTGAAATCAGCTGGGGGTGAACACTTAGAAACGCCTCCCCCAACCCCTCCCCAGAGTCTACCAATTGGACTTGTTTGTGTGTATACATGACCAATCCTCCAGACATGTCAGCACTGTGTGAGCAAGGCATGATCTACTTACACACACATATTTATATATATATATAGATATATTTTTCTCGGGGCATCGGTGCTTTCTTGGGGTTGCCGGAGGCTTGAAATCAGCTGGGCGTGAACCACACCCCGTCCCCAGATTCTACCAATGGGGCTTGTCTGTGCATGCGCATGACCAATACTACATATATGTCAGTGCGTGTGAGCAAGGCATGATGTATTTACATACACGCATACGTACGGAAGCCTGAAATCAGCCGGGCGGTGAATACTTAGAAACACCCCCCCCCCCCGCCCGGATCGGATTCAACCACTTGGGCTTGTACGTGTGTATATATTACATGACCAATACTCCATGTAGGTCAGCACCGATGTGAGCAAGGCATGATCTACTTACATACACATATGTATATAATTATATATATATATAAATCTTCGTCCTCGGGGCATCGGTGTTTTCTTTAGGGTTGCCGGAAGCTTGGAAGATTGAAATTAGTTGGGCGGTGAACACTTAGAAACGCCTCCCCCAACAGAGTCTACCAATTGGACTTGTTTGTGTGTATACATGACCAATACTCCATTCATATCAGCACTGCGTCAGCAAGGCATGATCTACTTACACACACACACACACATATATATATATATATATACACATCCTGGGGGCATCGGTGCTTTCTTGGGGTTGCCGGAAGCTTGAAATCAGCTGGGGGTGAACACTTAGAAACGCCTCCCCCAACACCCCCACCCCAGAGTCTACCAATATACATGATCAATCCTCCCCACATGTCAGCACTTCCTTGGGGTTGCCGGAAGCTTGACATCAGCTGGGCTTAGAAACGCCTCCCCCAAACCCCCCCCCCCCAGAGTATAGCAATTGGACTTGTTTGTGTATACATGATCAATCCTCCCCACATGTCAGCACTTCCTTGGGGTTGCCGGAAGCTTGACATCAGCTGGGCTTAGAAACGCCTCCCCCAACCCCCCCCCCCCAGAGTATAGCACTTGGACTTGTTTGTGTATACATGACCAATACTCCACACATGTCAGCACGTGTGTGAGCAAGGCATGATCTACTTTCACAAACACACACATATTTATATATATATATATAGACCTTCATCCTGGGAGCATCGGAGGCTTGAAATCAGCTGGGGGTGAACACAGAAACGCCTCCCCGAACCCCCGTGACCAGTACTCCATACATGTCAGCACTGTGTGAGCAAGGCATGATCTACTTACACAAACACACACACACACATATTTATACATGTACAGACCTTCGTCATGGGGGGATCGCTGCTTTCTTGGGGTTGCCGGAAGCTTGAAATCAGCTGGGGGTGAACACTTAGAAACGCCTCCCCCAACCCCTCCCCAGAGTCTACCAATTGGACTTGTTTGTGTGTATACATGACCAATCCTCCAGACATGTCAGCACTGTGTGAGCAAGGCATGATCTACTTACACACACATATTTATATATATATAGATATATTTTTCTCGGGGCATCGGTGCTTTCTTGGGGTTGCCGGAGGCTTGAAATCAGCTGGGCGTGAACCACACCCCCCGCCCCAGATTCTACCAATGGGGCTTGTCTGTGCATGCGCATGACCAATACTACATATATGTCAGTGCGTGTGTGAGCAAGGCATGATGTATTTACATACACGCATACGTGCGGAAGCCTGAAATCAGCCGGGCGGTGAATACTTAGAAACACCCCCCCCCCGCCCGGATTCAACCACTTGGGCTTGTACGTGTGTATATATTACATGACCAATACTCCATGTAGGTCAGCACCTATGTGAGCAAGGCATGATTTACTTACATACACATATGGATATAATTATATATATATATATATCTTCGGTGTTTTCTTTAGGGTTGCCGGAAGCTTGGAAGATTGAAATTAGTTGGGCGATAAACACTTAGAAACGCCTCCCCCAACAGAGTCTACCAATTGGACTTGTTTGTGTGTATACATGACCAATACTCCATTCATGTCAGCACTGTGTCAGCAAGGCATGATCTACTTACACACACACATATATATATATATACATACACATCCTGGGCGCATCGGTGCTTTCTTGGGGTTGCCGGAAGCTTGAAATCAGCTGGGGGTGAACACTTAGAAACGCCTCCCCCAACACCCCCACCCCAGAGTCTACCAATATACATGATCAATCCTCCCCACATGTCAGCACTTCCTTGGGGTTGCCGGAAGCTTGACATCAGCTGGGCTTAGAAACGCCTCCCCCAACCCCCCCCCCCCCCCCAGAGTAGAGTATAGCAATTGGACTTGTTTGTGTATACATGACCAATACTCCACACATGTCAGCACGTGTGTGAGCAAGGCATGCTCTACTTACACAAACACACACACACACACATTTATACATATATATATATATATAGACCTTCATCCTGGGGCCCTCGGTTCTTGCTTGGGGTTGCCGGAAGCTTGAAATCAGCTGGGGGTGAACACTTAGAAATTGGACTTGTTTGTGTGTATACATGACCAATACTCCATACATGTCAGCAGGTGTGTGAGCAAGGCATGATCTACTTACACAAACGCACACATGCACACGTTTATACATATGTGTATATATGGGCCTTCATCCTGGGAGCATCGGTGCTTTCTTGGGGTTGCCCGATGCTTGAAATCAGCTGAGGGTGAACACTTAGAAACGCCTCCCCCAACCCCCCCCCCCCCAGAGTCTACCAATTGGACTTGTTTGTGTGTACACATGACCAGTGCTCCATACATGTCAGCACTGTGTGAGCAAGGCATGATCTACTTACACAAACGCACACATATTTCTTTGTATATATATATATACCTTCGTCATGGGGGCATCGGTGCTTTCTTGGGGTTGCCGGAAGCTTGAAATCCGCTGGGGGTGAACACTTAGAAACGCCTCCCCCAACCCCCCCCCCCTTTTCAGAGTCTACCAACTGGACTTGTTTGTGTGTTTTCATGACCAATCCTCCATACATGTCAGCACGTGTGTGAGCAAGGCATGATCTACTTACACAAACACACACATATCTATATATAATATATATATATATATAGACCTTCGTCATGGGGGGATCGCTGTTTTCTTGGGGTTGCCGGAAGCTTGAAATCAGCTGGGGGTGAACACTTAGAAACGCCCCCCACCCTCCCCCCCCGCCCCAGATTCTACCAATGGGGCTTGTCTGTGTATGTGCATGACCAAAAATTCCTATATGTCAGTGCGTTTGCGAGCAAGGCATGATTTACTTACATACAACACATACTTACATATATATATATATGTATATATATATATATGTATATAGATAGACCTTCCTCCTCGGGGCATCGGTGCTTTCTTGGGGTTGCCGGAAGCTTGAAATCCGCTGGGGGTGAACACTTAGAAACGCCTCCCCCAACCCCCCCGCCCAAGAGTCGACCAATTGGACTTGTTTGTGTGTATACATGACCAATCCTCCATACATGTCAGCACGTGTGTGAGCAAGGTGGGGCCATCAAACAAGGCGTGAAACATATGAACGATCATAAACAGCTGTTGGGCTAGTGCTGCAAACCGTTTCTAAGTGTTGAAAACAGTTTCTAAGTGTTGAAAACCATTTCTAAGTGTTGAATTGGGTTGTAGCAGTCCGGATCAACACTTAGAAACGAAAGGTACCTGCTGGGGACAGCACTTAGAAACGAAAAAAGTACCTGGCGCCAAAAGAAAATTTCCAAAACCGTTTCTAAGTGTATGTCCGTCACTATAATAATAATAATAATAATAATAATAATAATAATAATAATAACAATAACAATCATATATATATATATATGGTGCCTCCCCCCACCAAAAAAAACCGTCACTTGCTTGTCTATACATATATATATATATATGTTCTGTCTTTCGACCTTTCGGCAACTCTGAGCTGAGGACTGCGACTTGCTCACGCCAATCTTGGCCAGATCGCTCTTGCTGAGGCGCTGCTTCAAAGGCCTGGCGCTGGATATGCAAATTCGATGTCCAGCAAAGCTTTTCTTCATGGAACAGTCTCACTCCGTGGATGGGCCAGAAAACGTCTGAACTCTTTGTTTGCCACAAATGGTCATACCCAAAAAGTGTGAAGTCAAAGAACTCAGGCAGTGAGATAACGTGGTGCATTTACAAAACTTGTCTGGGGCCAAAGCATGATGATTCGCTTTGATCAAAAGCCCTTTCCAGTGCCCCACAAGGTGGCGCCGTGAACATCATGGACCCCGGACTGGTCTTTGAACCAGACAGCGCGTTTTTTGGCGAGGTGGAGAACGCCCCCCTGACCATGCTTAGGCCAACAAATAAGCTCCTGGCTTCCCTTGAGAAGTTACCATGGACACCTTACAATCTTGGTTTGCAGGTTCCACATGAGTCGCCCCTCTTGGACACCCCAAACGCGCGCCCCTTCCTTGAGCCTAGGAACACGCCGCCCTTTTTTTGACAAGACTTCGTTGGCCGTTCAGCAGCCCTTCCGGGGGAAAAAACACCCGCCTCACCCAGACCCGGAAGTCGATGGGAATGCCCCAGAGCTGCACCAAGGTCTCCGTAACCTGCCGGAAGAAAGCGACATGGTGACCGGGTTTCCCTTTGATTTCCCTTTAAAACCCACCAAAAGAGGGTTAAGTTACCCAAATAACAAGACAACATCGATTAGATGATACATTGTCGTCCCAGTGACTTGATTTTGGTCTGGCACCCCAACCTCTCATTCGAATTACTTAGCTGATCCCCAACCCCAGCAACCTTCCGAAACCCTTTGCAGCCTCCATGTAGCATCCACCTTTCGGAATGCGAATGCCCTGCGTATCTCTTCGCTTCCCGTGGCCATGTTCGAAGACCCATAGTCACACCCGACCACACGCGGGTGTCTTTTCGGTATTTCCCAGCGTCGTTGTGTTACGGGTGTCATCCTCACGTTGAGAGCAATCTCAAACCGAGACTGAAAACGCAAAAGGTTCGGTCGATTCGCCATGAGCAATTGAGGAACTTGTGTAGATAAATCACATCGTGCCCAGAAACAATCTGAGAAAGGAATGAAACATCTGCAAAACGGCGCCTGCGATGCAGGATTGCTTATCCATGCTGTTGGTCAAAAACTAATTTGATGATTCACCAGCCTGAAGCAAGAAATGGCCCCAAGGAATCTGCATGGGTGAGGATGGCAAACCTCAGGTGGACGAGCGGAGAATCAGTCCAAGAATAAATCAAGCTGGAGGAAAAAATGTCTCCAAGCCCCTTCCTGCATCACCCATATCTATATCTCCACATGTATATATATATACACACATACACATCATATGTACATCCATATCTCCATTGATCTATCTTGCCCTCACTCTACATCTGCGAACTTCCGCTGGCGCCTTTTTCTTCATGTGGCGCAAGATGTTGTTGCGCACGCCCAGGATCATGCGTGCCACCACGGAATCCTTGACCTCAGGGCAAGGATCTGTGCGGTTTGGAGTCGATACCGCTCTCCTCAAGTGAGAGAAGTCCATTGGGGCATGACAACCTCAATGGTGCCATGTGTCTTTTACTTCTGAGCTCTGTACAGAACTTTCTGCCCAGCCAAGTTGGGCGTCAGTGCTCGCAATTGTTGGCGGCACAAGCTGGCGACATAATAGGGATACACATACATTTTGCATGAGACTCAAGTGCCAATGGCTGTAGGGTCAGCCAGCCGTATGTCGCAGGGTCCTCAGTTCCATGGACCGAGTTTCCCATGGGAGCCCGGCCATGACCTCATGCTCAATCAGCAGGGACCCATCCAGGCGGGGTGTCCAACCTAGCGGTGCCGACCTTTAGGCTTGCAACGCGTGTGTGTCAAGGAAGACCAAAAGGATGCCAACTCTTTTTCGGGGTCCCTGATTTTGAGGCAAATTGGGTTCACCTTCTTTTGAGGGCAGACTTAAAACGGGGTTGGATGAAAGGAACACACAAAAGGACAACCAGGTTCAGGATCCCAAACCCTATTTGACATGTACCCTCCAGCTTAAAGGGAAACTCAAAGGAAGCCAACTTCTTCGGGGGTCCCCGATTTGAGACAAGCCCAGGCATCAAGCCGTGGTTTTCGTCGTTTCGTTGCAACCAGCGGCCTTTAGGGAAGAAGCTGGTGAACCAACCGCATGCAACCCTAACTTCCACACAATGAAAGGAGAGCTTTCAACTTTAAAAGGAATACTCTATCAATTGAAGTATTGAACAACACTCGTGGTGTGCTGGAGCTGGTCGCGGTTTTGTCGGCCACCGGGACTGGCAAGGACGCACAACCGCGGCTGTACCAGCTGCACTACCTGTTACATTTGACGGGAAATAACACGTTCGTTGTTCTGTTCTTTTGTCGGCCAACTACCAAAATGGATCATGAGCTATCTATTCATCTAGCTAGCCAAGTAACTAACTAGCTAACTCATGACTTAGCTCACCAACGAACTAGCTAAAAAAAGAATTGGATATCTAATCAGCTGACTCATAGACAAGTAACTCAAAGTGGCCAACACTAACTAGCTAAACCGAATAGCTCAGAAAATAACATCTAGCCGGCTGACTAGCTGAGCAAAATACACCCGCATGCGGAGCTCACAACTTCATTTAGGCCCAACATCTCTCTCAGCGTTTGGGTGCACTTTCGCCGGATGATTGTGCAATGAGACCAACTTGGACTTTTTGTGTCTCCGCAAATCTGCACGCAAACAAGTTGGCCATTCTAATCTTGGGAACTTTCTTAGAGAGCTAGACAACTCTGATGGCAAGGTTTCCTTCGAGCCTTTCTGTAGGATATGGGAGCGATGTTGAAGTGCTTCTGAAATGAACACTGCGTGAGTTATCACTGAGGTGTTCCTGAGTGCTTCAACATGCAGGGCCCAATTCGCATTGGATACCAAACATTGTAAAGAACTCAAAAGCCGCTGGGAACTGTCCCCTAACTTTCATCTACCCGAATCGGCTCTGATTGTGGCTCGACTGCTGCGCCAAGCCCAACCAAAAGCCAGAGAGGGCAGACATGGGGCTTACACTGATTCTTTGTGAATGAAAGTTTGCAGGAAGATCGAGGGGCGGGCACAGGGGGGTGACGAAGCTACGCAGCTACACCGGGTCGCCCATTCACACTGGCCTTGTCTTACGAGGGCATGGCAACAGGGGCTTTCCAATTGATTTCCCATTTGGCCAACCCGAAAATAGGCAGGCGCAGCCATGCTTGCCAGAAAGCTCCCAGCGTCCTTGACAAACAACATTCAAGAAACACGCGCATAACTATCAATACGATACATCGAAGCCAACGACATGATGAAACCAAAGCAGACTGTCCATAGCATTCCATAGCATTTTCTTCATCACCCAATCATCAGCAATGACCTGCCTCCATGTGAGCTCAGCCGATCCAGTGTCCAAGGCTGCAGTATCTTGCTACATTTGTGGCCAGGTTCCGGACACCTTTCCAACCCCCCTTTACATTTCCCGAATTGAGGCATTGTGTCTCGGCGCATGAACGTGAACACTTTGTTTCGGGTGATTCACATGAACACCTCCAAACATAATTTTGAAAACGCCCAGTGCTGTCATGAACCCAACATTTTGGGCTTTGCGGGAAGTCACATGCTGGGTCGGCGCTGCCTTTCTCTCTCGACTCTAGGACTGTGCCCCGTACCCACCGTCTGCTGCTCGAACTTGTAGGGCAGATCTACATTGAACCTCACAGCAAAGCGGTCTCCTTGGCTGAAAAGGAACCCTACCCATATGACCGTCTCAGTCTGAAACTCGTCAACCTCACCACAAGCCGGGCTTGCGATTCATGGCGGCATCCTCTTCGGTAAGCACAGAACTGCTCTTGGGACTTGCCAAAAAAGGTATCTCACTTGCCAACTGGGCCGGCACGATCTGCTGTCCGAATGCTGATGCTTAACACAGTCGAGACCATCTTCCCAGAGAGCACTGGGAGTCCTTCGTTTTTGTCGGCATAGCACTCATGGGGTGAGCTCTAATGCTTATGAACTGGTTCAACATTCGAACCCGCTTCCGGCGAGCTGCAATGAGCGGCGGTCAAGTCAACGTCCGGCATACGCATTGCCTTTTGGTTCTACCAACATGGAAAGAAGGGTTTTCATAGGCCTTACTGTACTGTAAGCCCAATGAAACCAGGATCTGGTTTCAGCTAGGAACCGACAAGGCTTTTGAGAGCTTCCCGAGTGCCTGGCCGCTTGAACATGTAGGCGTTCACCACTTGCCTCAGCCAAAATAGGGAGGGGACCCCTAGAATGTTTGGCTTCTTTTGGGTCTCCCTTGAAAATCAACCCGAAAAGGGTAGTCTCGCAAAACCAAAAACAACTTCCAAATGGGACATGCCCAATTTGGATGGTTCAGGATTCCAATAGCACACGAGGAAGCAAACAGCTGGGCACAGACACACACAAACACCACAGCTGAACTGGGGCTGCAATTAGCCGCAGGCCTGGCCAAAACCTTCCCATTCACCGGAGGCTATTTGGTACTTCTCTGCACATGAACGGAACCCCAAAAACCCACACATTTGTATGGGAAGCTTGTCTTGGGAACCATCTTTGGGTTCCTTCCGTTTGTTTCGGCACGAGCCTTTTGGAGGCATTTCAGTCCCCCCAAAACTGCCTCGCTATGGGACGCCATGGGATTAACCTGAACACCGACTCGGTTTCGCGAGTTGGACCGAAGAAGTACAAATGGCTGCAAATGAATATGGTTGTATTGAACTTGTTCAAGTGATGTTCTATTGCTGATATGGCGGATGGCTGTTGACGGCTGCAAATCCTTCGAGCTTCCTGAAATCTGCGGAATGTCTAGCTCTAACGGTCTCCAGCCCCCATCCTGCACAACTTGCACGAGACACCGAGATACAAGAACTGGGGCCCAGCCTTTAGAAATTTAGGGCGACTGCAAGAGGGATTTTGCACACGGATTTGCATTTATGGATCATGGAAAGGCCTACTTGGAGGCCCATCCTAGGCCACTCGGGTGTCTTGTGAAACAACCCCCGAGTCACGGAAGCTGACGGCGGGCCACTCTAGGGTCGGTATCGTCGGTCTCATCTCCCGATTCCTTCTAAATCATAAGCCCCAATTTGAGTGGCTCTTTATCCCAGGCTTTTGCAAATTTATCGAACACCAAAGACTTTGGACCAAATCCACGGGCATTTGGGAGTAATTCAGCGGCAAGAAGGATCCCCCAAAATGAGCGGAGACATGTCGGTTTTGCTAAGCAAAGGTGAAAAGGGTTGCCTCAAAAACAAGGCGCAATGGGTCAAAGGGGACCCAATGGGTCAAAGACCCACCAAACTGATTAGTTTCCTTCCGGTTCCCTTTAAACCACCATCCCCTTTCCGGGCTAGGCCGGCTTTCGGGTCAATGCATTCGAGGCACTTGACCTGATCCGTGTGGGACATGGTGGTCAGCATCTCCCCGGGGTACATCCACTGCCTGGCACAGCGCAAGTCCGGCATCTCCCTCAAACCATCACCCAAGGGACACTCACCTTACATGGGCCGGTGTGTATAACCCAGCAAAACTTAGTGGGACCCCTCACACGTTGAGTCACAACACCTGCACGCCAGAATCCATACCAATGGACCCAGTCGACTGAGCCCTGAGTGAGTGCCCACTTGGCGGCGGTCACCTATTTGGTTAGCCTAAAGGGCAAGCCCAAGTCGGACAAAGCACAAGTGAACTGATGGGGACAACGTCACTGAACCAAAAGGGGAAGCCCATCAACCACCCGAAATCATCGCCCCGCCCTCCTTCCAAAGAACGGAGCAGGGGCGATTCTAGCCTCAAGTGACTTACATGAGCCAACGAGTGAGCCCTATTACGGGCAACTCCCTCAGCCCTTACTCGCATTTGCGAAGCGCTCCTTGTCTTTCGGCGGGAAACGAAAGGAACCAGTCACCAAGTCCCAAGGAAACATCTGCCACATTTCTACTCCTCACAGGTGCCTCGAAGGAGTAGCGATTCGACTCTACATGCAGCCGTCTCACAGGTGTTGGCTCAATGCTTGACAACCTTAGGCAACACCAGCCATACACATGGAATTGAAGCGCTCTTCTGGAGGATGCTCCCTGAAACAATGGCACTTCACCGAGCAAAATCCGGCCTTGGCCCAGCACTGGCGGGGAGTTGTTTTTTTTGGGGGGGGGATATTAACAGAGATGTATTAAATTCTAACGATTTCAGCGGCGATGTGTTAAATCCTAAAGGACCTCTACATGGCGGGGGGGGGGGGGTTGGGGGGGATTTCAGCTCTCTATGGTGAGCTTTGTGTTACCCAGGACTCGGTGAGCCCGCGCATCCTTTCCCGGGCAGCAGACATCCGCCTCGGCCGGGCCCGGGATTTCAGGTGCTCCAAAAGCCGCACCTCGGCTGGATGACCCGCTGCCATGCACACAACTGGGGTGGGTCCAACCAAGAGACCGCTGATCACTGGGATCACTTTTCGTGCTTTTTTTGTTTGATTTGAGACAAAGCTATGGATGATCACCCCTACTGAGCAACAGATCAAACAAATTCCTGGATTGATACCTGTGGAAGTATCCACAAGCCACTGGGGCTATCCAAGGCTATCAGCTGCTAAGTTGGGTCAAACAGGGTCATCCAGTGGCGTGGTCATCCAAGTTGGGTTCGAGCACCAGAGCAAGTTTCAAACTCAGCACCCCAATTGCCACAGGTGGGGTAAACACAACGCGGATCCAGGATGGCGGAACTCCCAATCAACCAAATAGGTCAGGTTTGTCAAAAGATTGAAACTTGGTACAGCAAACCAACCGCGCACGCATCATGGGCGTGATAACATGCCGGGGGAATGACGCACGAACACACACGCACACACAAGCACAAGCACAACCACACAACCACACACACACAAACACACACACACACACAACACACACACACACAGCACACACACACACAACACACACACACACACACAGCACACACACACACAATAGGCACACACAGCACACACACACACAATACACACACACACACAGCACACACACACACACCACACACACACACACACCACACTGACACTCACACACACACAGTCACAGTCACAGCCACAGCCACAGTCACAGTCACAGTCACACTCACTCTCACCACATGACATCACATCACATTACATCACATCGCATCACATCACATCACATGACATCACCTCACATCGCTTCACCTCACCTCACCTCAGCTTACCTCACCTCACCTCACCTCACCTCACCTCAACTCCCTCCCTCCCTCTTGCACTCACTCACTCACTCACTCACTCACTCACCCACCCACCCACCCACCCACCCACCCACCCACCCACCCACCCACCCACCCACCCACCCACGCACGCACGCACGCACGCACTCTCTCACTCACTCACTCACTCACTCACTCACTCACTCACTCACTCACTCACTCACTCACTCACTCACTCACTCACTCACTCACTCACTCACTCACTCACTCACTCACTCACTCACTCACTCACTCACTCACTCACTCACTCACTCACTCACTCACTCACTCACTCACTCACTCACTCACTCACTCACTCACTCACTCACTCACTCACTCACTCACTCACTCACTCACTCACTCACTCACTCACTCACTCACTCACTCACTCACTCACTCACTCACTCTGTTGTTTCTTGCGTCTTCTTGTCCTTGTCGGTTAAACTTTTGTTGCTTTTTGTTGAGCAACTTAAGAGCTTTAAAGTTGCATTTCCGAAGCTGACCTCCGATCGGTAAATATCATTCGTGCAGAAAAATGCCGGCGCCTCATTTGAACGCCAGCTACGAAAAGCCAGCTTCCCCAATTTGGTAGTTTGGATTTGTTGTTTGTTGGTTAGGATGGCTTCCCCATTTACCTCTACAAAAGTTAGGGGTTCAAATCCCCACTCCACTACTCCAAACCCCCAACTCTGCGTTGCCTGCTGAGCTACTTGGACACTAAAATACTTGTCCAGTTCAACTTGCCAAGCGAAACATCTTAAAGAAGCGATACAACAGAAGTTCACAGAAGTGTAAACACCTACCAGTCGCCGGGCACCCAAACTGCAACGTGCTAGGGCCACGGCAATGCCGCGATTCTTGGTCGCCGAGGTAAAGAAAATGCCATCGAACTGACCTCAGTCCGTCAATACACCGATTTCTGCAGCAAGATCATGATGTGCAAATATTGGTATGGGTCAAAATTTAACCACCAGGGGACCGCAGGTTTTTTTGACCCACAGTCATATCGTCACACCTCACAACAAATACTTCGGTGTTGCTATTACCGCGGCAGCCAGAACATCCAAACACAGGATCCAAATCATAGTGCCGAGCGAGCAAAAAGGCAGTTGGCGCTTTGTTCTGTTGCGTAACCGGCTGAGAAAAAAGCGAGGCCAATATCCCCTCCCCTGCGCATCCAACACCTCCTTGGTATGAACTTGAAACAAAAAGAAGCCGACAGTGTCATTTTCAAAAAGGCCCCTAGACTTGGGCCGGGCTGGCACCTGCCCAGTACATGGATCAACAAACAAGTGATATAAGAAATCAAGCACGCGCACACGCACACGCACACGCACACGCACACGCGCGCACACGAGCAAACGAGCAAACAAAACAAGAACACAACAACACAACACGAGCATGCGAGCCACGCAACATGCTACAACCCCACCGACTACACGAATGAAAGATTCGTCTACCAAGACCAGCAACAGAGACATGACAAGTCTCATTCAGGCTTATTGATGAATCTCCCGAATCTTCAGACATTTCACAGTTCCATTTGCCCAGTGACCAACAAATACTAAAAGTTGACGTTGAAAGGGGAGCAACAAACATAAATTTCAGCAGCCAAGTGGGGGTTTCCCACTAAACCACAATAAGCAAAAATGTAAAATGTGTCCCAACAACCGAGAAAAGGGCCCCTCAACTCCTGAGTCAATCTGCGGTAACGTGTCTCAGGCCCGGGCCATGGGCGCGGAACTCCCGCTCCCTTGACAGGACCTGCGAGAGCGTGAGTCTGCCAAACGGCTTTGGGGCCTAGGAATTTGCAGCGGGAGTATTCATTTCTATGCTTGGACGTGGGATCCTCGTGGTTCGAGGGTTAACCTTCTGGCCATGGTTGAACACCCAGGAACCAACTAGTGTACTAATGCTCTCCAAAACAGTCGACTTGCTTTGTTTCCCAACCCTAGTTCTATCCATGTTGCGAGGAGACCTTGTGTGAGGCATTCCGGATTCTCTCCCAAGTCTCCCCAGGATTGCCCACCATCCCCGCGTCGGCAAATGCTTTATGCGTCTTCCCCCGAGCTTCCAAGCTGGAGCGAGTCCCACGCCGCGGATGTTCCAAGCAGTAGGGGGGAACAAGGAAAACCAGTAGTGTACCGCAGGAAACTGCTGTTGGATGTGCTAGCTTCACTTTGGGATTCCTTATGTTGTCAGCTTCTGGCGCCAGCTTCCGGCAAGTATCGATTCATGGCCATAGAAAGCAAGCCGCATTCATGTCAAACGCACCGCGCAAGCTTTTGGATCCGGCAGCTGCCATCACCGCATCACTTCATGCCGGGAAAATACTCGGCCAAATGCAAAGGCGTCCGCTGATTGCCCAAAAAAGTGACATTGGCCCACTATACAACCCTTGGTATGATCGCCAATCGGCTTTTGCAGCCTACTAAATTCCCAGACCCAAGAAAACAACTAAACACTTGCCAACATTTAATCCAATTTCCCACGAAACCTAAAGCTTCGAGCCCGCTGGAACGCTGGAGCTGATTCCTTTCGCCTGGGGAGCCGGCCCATCTTCTCTCTGACGCCTTGTCGATCTTGTTGAGAACCAGTGTGACTGGAGGACGGTCCTCATCCTGAGAAGATTCTGGGCGAATGATAAACGCCGCAAACACGAGGAACATGGGGAAAGCTAGTTGGAAGGAAGATTCAATAAGCTTCAGGATGGGTGAGGTCGCCGTCTTTCGTACGGTCACAATTCGCCAAGGAACTTGCAAGGCATGTAGTTGTGTGAACGGGAAGCTTGACCGGAAACACACTGATCTCTGAATTCCCACAGATTATTCCACATTTCGGCACTCAAAGTTGAACTGTTGGGGTTAGGCAGTTTTCAGTTTTTGCTTCCATATGCCAAGGTGCCATTTTGGGTGCCATTTTTTCTGCCACTGTCATCTTTGGTGTCATCTTACATCTGCAAAACTTTCCCAGATCTTGTGAGCAATGAGACCGCACGGACGCTGCTGGCCTCGCTTACCACCAAACAACTGCCAACATAGTATGTTGACAGCAAGATAGGCACATCTAGACGTAGATGAGGGGTGCTCAAAACAGTGAACTACCAACTAAAAGAGGGTTCACCATTTTCAAAAACTCCCACAAGCTTTCTATGTGTTTGACAACTTGGACTGCTTGTCGATTCCGGCATGCTTTTGCTTCCTAGACACCCAGTATGGGTGGGCAAAGAAATCCTTTCCGGGTTGTGCACATTCAGTCGGAACTGACCAAAATAACTCAGGGAAGTGCGCTTCCTGACTGGCCCCAACAAGTCCAAACTTGGTATTTAACTTCTATTGCAAACTGGGGCGCCATACCACTCCACCAGCTCATGATCAAAGCCCCGGCGTGGCACATGCGGTCTTGTCTCCAAACCTCCCAACAATTCACATGGAACCTGACGTTTGAAAGGTCCTGGTTTGGACCATTTTCTGTTGAAGGGACTGGGCCCCTGTCAGGTTCCATGTTAATTGGTGGGAGGGTAACATAGGGTAACTAGTTTTCTTTTGGCTTAACCTCAAAAGGGTACCAAAACAACACTCTCGCCATGGCGGCCCGCTACCCCTCCTGTGCAAATGGGCTGCCAGGTATGGACCGCGGCCTCAGCACGTTGGGATCCTTCGAGGATGTCGAGCTTGGCAGGGAACATCTTCCAACCGTCTGAGGTTCTGCGTTGGTTCTGCGTTGGTTTGGGGGTGTTTTGGATTGAGAGCGAACTTGCAGCACTCCCTCAAAGGCATGCCTTGGACGGCTTTAGAATGGCCAGCGTTGGGCAGGCATTCTGAAATTACAGAAGTGCCCGCAGGTGCCAAACATGAAGAACACTCTTGCAAAATCAGCGGCGGGGGGGGTGTCGTACTTGAGCCGAATCCTCAAGAGCCGTTTCTCAGTTTTCGCAAAGGGCAATCCCTTGACGATCTTTGACGTTTCACTCATTTGTGGCGTGTTTGCGCGTATGGTGCGATAGATGCATCGTGGAAGCCACACAACTCGCTTCGCGAAGCAAGCAAGAGCCGAGAACAAGTTCGAGTTCCGTCCATACCTCATATGTAATACTACTAATAATAATAATAGTAATAATAATAATAACAATAACAATAACAATAATAATAATAATAATAAAAATAATAATAAAAATAATAATAATAATAATAATGATAATAATAATAATAATAATAATAATAATAATAATAATAATAATAATAATAACAATAATAATAATAGCTTGTCCGTGATGTGCGCCGATGTTTCTGCATGGTTGCAACAGTTGTGCGGCCAAGGCTGGGAAAACACTGCTTTCACCCCTTCGACCCAGAGCCAGCGATCCTGCGCAAGTCACCATGAAACTGAGGACAAAAGGTGATGTTGAAAGAGACACTAGAATGAAACCTGCCAAACTTGGAATTCCTGTTGTTGAACCCCTCAGCTTCGGTGCCCAGTATGTCAACTTCGAGGTCTTTTAACTGGCTCATAAACCGTGGGTTTCCTGAAACATGTCACCTACCCTGGGCCTATAGACCTGCAATAAAATTCGCGGATCTTCCGTTTAGGCTCCTGAGGTTGAGCTGGACATGCAATGGTCCGTTCAAGTGGGGTCATTGACTGCATCTGGAGGCTATCAAAGTCGAAGGGGTGGTGACTTTGATAGTGGTAAATTTATGGGCCCGGTTGTACCGGGGGAACAAACATACTTCACGAAGCGAGAATAAGTGCCAGGTACCACGAAACGAACCTTGGCGATGAGGTCGCACATGCAGATCCCTTTGCATCACTTTGCCGGACGAAATCGGTCGGGATCCAATCTGCGTTTGCACAAGTGCGAGTCGGGTCTGTACAAACACCCAAGCCCAATGCGAGCAAATCCAAATCACATGTCTATTCAAATCCGATCCAAGTCCAATCCAATCCAAAAATGTAAATCCAATTCAAATCCTAATCTAAATCCAATTCAAATCCAAGCCAAAGTCCAATTCAAATCCAAGCCCAAGTCCAATTCAAATCTAATCACAATCCAATCCAAATCCAATCGAATCCAAGTTCAACTCCAATCCCAGCCCAATTCCAAGTCGAAATCCAAGCCAAGTCGAATCCAATCCAACTCCAATCCTAATCCATTTGCAATCTCAATCCAATTCCAATCTCAATCGAAATCCAATCCAAGTCGAATCCAATCCAATTCCTTTGGAATTTCAATTTATGTTTTTTTAATTCTAAATTTTAATCCCAATCCATGTCGAATCCAATCTCAACCCAATCCAATCCAGGTCGAATCCAATCCAAATCCAATCCCGATCCAATACCAATCTCAATCCAATTCCAATCTCAATCCAAATCCAATCCAAGTCGAATCCAATCCAAATCCAATCCCAATCCAGGTCGAATCCAATCCAAATCCAATTCCAATCTCAATCCAAATCCAATCCAAGTCGAATCCTAATCCATTTCCAACCTCAATCCAAATCCCAATCCCCTTTGAAATCCCATACCCTTCGATCTCGCTATGACCACCATCGCTTGGCGTTCCGCTTGAAGACTTGAAGACTTGGCTCCCCGGCAGCAGCTCTAAGGCATCTCGGGGCAGCTCATGGCGCCCCTCGTCGTCCACCTCGCGGCCCACACTCTTTGGTCTTCTAGGTCCTCCAGGGTACCAACTTTTATCTGTTTTGTCTACTTTAGTAGGGGAACCCAAAACCAACCAAAGAGTAGAGAGGTTAGAATAAGATGGGCACCGACTTTATCTGTTTTGTCTAGTTTAGTAGGGGAACCCAAAACCAACCAAAGAGTAGAGAGGTTAGAATAAGTTGGCACCAACTTTATCTGTTTTGTCTACTTTAGTAGGGGAACCCAAAACCAACCAAAGAGTAGAGAGGTTAGAATAAGTTGGCACCAACTTTATCTGTTTTGTCTACTTTAGTAGGGGAACCCAAAACCAACCAAAGAGTAGAGAGGTTAGAATAAGTTGGCACCAACTTTATCTTTTTTGTCTACTTTAGTAGGGGAACCCAAAACCAACCAAAGAGTGGAGAGGTTAGAATAAGTTGGCACCAACTATATCTGTGTTGTCTACTTTAGTAGGGGAAGCCAAAACCAACCAAAGAGTAGAGAGGTTAGAATAAGTTGGCACCAACTTTATCTGTTTTGTCTACTCTAGTAGGGGAACCCAAAACCAACCAAAGAGTAGAGAGGATAGAATAAGTTGGCACCAACTTTATCTGTTTTGTCTACTTTAGTAGGGGAAGCCAAAACCAACCAAAGAGTAGAGAGGTTAGAATAAGTTAGCACCAACTATATCTGTTTTGTCTACTTTAGTAGGGGAAGCCAAAAGCAACCAAAGAGTAGAGAGGTTAGAATAAGTTGGCACCAACTTTATCTGTTTTGTCTACTTTAGTAGGGGAACCCAAAACCAACCAAAGAGTAGAGAGGTTAGAATAAGTTGGCACCAACTTTATCTGTTTTGTCTACTTTAGTAGGGGAACCCAAAACCAACCAAAGAGTAGAGAGGTTCGAATAAGTTGGCACCGACTTTATCTGTTTTGTCTACTTTAGTAGGGGAACCCAAAACCAACCAAAGAGTAGAGAGGTTCGAATAAGTTGGCACCGACTTTATCTGTTTTGTCTACTTTAGTAGGGGAACCCAAAACCAACCAAAGAGTAGAGAGGTTAGAATAAGTTGGCACCAACTTTATCTGTTTTGTCTACTTTAGTAGGGGAACCCAAAACCAACCAAAGAGTAGAGAGGTTAGAATAAGTTGGCACCAACTTTATCTTTTTTGTCTACTTTAGTAGGGGAACCCAAAACCAACCAAAGAGTGGAGAGGTTAGAATAAGTTGGCACCAACTATATCTGTGTTGTCTACTTTAGTAGGGGAAGCCAAAACCAACCAAAGAGTAGAGAGGTTAGAATAAGTTGGCACCAACTTTATCTGTTTTGTCTACTTTAGTAGGGGAACCCAAAACCAACCAAAGAGTAGAGAGGTTAGAATAAGTTGGCACCAACTTTATCTTTTTTGTCTACTTTAGTAGGGGAACCCAAAACCAACCAAAGAGTGGAGAGGTTAGAATAAGTTGGCACCAACTTATCTGTTTGTCTACTTTAGTAGGGGAACCAAAACCAACCAAAGAGTAGAGAGGTTAGAATAAGTTGGCACCAACTTTATCTGTTTTGTCTATTTTAGTAGGGGAACCCAAACCAACCAAAGAGTAGAGAGGTTAGAACAAGTTGGCACCAACTTTATCTGTTTTGTCTACTTTAGTAGGGGAACCCAAAGCCAACCAAAGAGTAGAGAGGTTAGAATAAGTTGGCACCAACTTTATCTGTTTTGTCTACTTTAGTAGGGGAACCCAAAAGCAACCAAAGAGTAGAGAGGTTAGAATAAGTTGGCACCAACTTTATCTGTTTTGTCTACTTTAGTAGGGGAACCCAAAACCAACCAAAGAGTAGAGAGGTTCGAATAAGTTGGCACCAACTTTATCTGTTTTGTCTATTTTAGTAGGGGAACCCAAACCAACCAAAGAGTAGAGAGGTTAGAACAAGTTGGCACCAACTTTATCTGTTTTGTCTACTTTAGTAGGGGAACCCAAAACCAACCAAAGAGTAGAGAGGTTAGAATAAGTTGGCACCAACTTTATCTGTTTTGTCTACTTTAGTAGGGGAACCCAAAACCAACCAAAGAGTAGAGAGGATCGAGTAAGTTGGCACCAACTTTATCTGTTTTGTCTACTTTAGTAGGGGAACCCAAAACCAACCAAAGAGTAGAGAGGTTAGAATAAGTTGGCACCAACTTTAGCTGTTTTGTCTACTTTAGTAGGGGAAGAGTAGAGAGGTTAGAATAAGTTGGCACCAACTTTTATCTGTTTTGTGTACTTTAGTAGGGGAACCCCAAACCAACCAAAGAGTGAAGAGGTTCGAATAAGTTGGTACCAACTCTATTGGTTTTGTCTACTTTAGTAGGGCAACCCAAAACCAACCAAAGAGTAGAGTGGTTAGAATAAGTTGGTTCCATTCTTTTTCCGGTTTTGTCTACTTTAGTAGGGGAACCCAAAACCAACCAAAGAGTAGAGAGGTTAGAATAAGTTGGCACCAACTTTTGTCTGTTTTGTCTACTTTAGTAGGGGAACCCAAAACCAACCAAAGAGTAGAGAGGTTAGAAAAAGTTGGTTCCAACTGTTACCTATTGTGGCTATTTCAGTAGGGGAACCCAAAACCAACCAAAGAGTAGAGAGGATAGAATAAGTTGGTACCAACTTTCTTTCGGTTTTGTCTACTTTAGTAGGGGAACCCAAAACCAACCAAAGAGTAGAGAGGTTAGAATAAGTTGGTCTATTTTAGTAGGGGAACCCAAAACCAACCAAAGAGTAGAGATGTTAGAATAAGTTGGTCGATTTTAGTAGGGCAACCCAAAACCAACCAAAGAGTGGAGTGGTTAGAATAAGTTGGTTCCAATTTTTCCCGGTTTTGTCTACTTTAGTAGGGGAACCCAAAACCAACCAAAGAGTAGAGAGGTTAGAATAAGTTGGTTCCAACTGTTACCTGTTGTGGCTATTTCAGTAGGGGAACCCAAAACCAACCAAAGACTAGAGAGGATAGAACAAGTTGGTACCAACTTTCTTTCGGTTTTGTCTACTTGGGTATGTGTTTTTTTGACGTGGCCGCGCCGGGAGGTTGGTATAGGGGGTATGAATCGCAGGTATGGCTCAGGGTATGACTCGAGGGTATGGTTCGGGGTATGGCTCGCGCGGCTCTGATTTCTTGTTTTGTGGCCTTGGGCGCTGCAATTCTCGATCACGCTGCCAAGCAGATAGGCTGAAAGAAGCCGAACCGCTCAGTCGCCACAGCTGGCCTCTGACGCTGCCAGGGTGAACTAGACAGCTGCGACAGGCTAAGCAGCCGTGGCACACCGAAGCCTGACGCCTCACCAGTCGCCAGGGCATGCTGTGCTTCCTTCCAGGCGCTGACAAGAACTTGCTTGCTTTGGCACGCCCGCCAATGAAAGGATGGCTTCTTGCTCGCCACTCCTTCGAACACAGGCCGCTCTTTGCAGCGCTCCCCGGCTTCACAAGCAGAGCGAAACAATTCACTCTCGAAGGCTTACAACTCTGCCTTCAAGCGGCTGCAAACCTTCCGGACCGATCCTCTCCGAATAGTGCGGCGTCGTTCTGCAGCCCTCCCCTTTGTTTGCCTAGCTTCTGAAGATCTGGTCCCTGTAGCTTCACGATTGCGCCCAGATTGCAAAAGGCTCTTTGGTTGCAGATGTCTGCGAAAGGGTATGACTCGGGTATGGGTCGGGTATGAATCAGGGGTATGAATCGCGGGGAAGATTTTTGCTGACGGAAAGACGCAAAGCAAGCATGGCTAAGAAAGCTTGAAATCATGTGCGGATGCTGCAAGCGGCAGCACCCTTGCACTTGGAACAGGTCCGCGCCATGTGAAGCTATGAAGCAGAGCGTGTCAACCCGCGCAAAGTGGTCAAACTCTCAACTGCGTGGCAGGAAGGGCCACAGAGCTTTCAAGCCTTCTTGGTCAATTTTTCGACCCGCGCCGGAGCGGCAGTACACATACCAAAGCCGAGCGCGCAAGTCCACCCCTTGACGCAGCAGCGAAAACGCACTTGGGATAAACACCCGAAATAGCCAAGCAGCTCGTGCGAGCCTGCGCGCTGTTGAAATGCAGTTATGCGTGTGTCGCAACAAGCCGGCCCATACAAACTGTCAGCTGGCGCATGACGAACTGTGAGCTAACCTGTAGCTCTTGCTCTAAACGCCAGTTAGAGTAGAACACTGCTTGGGGACAGACAGCTTATTGTGTTACCCGCAGGACGGGCCCTACTTGCATACTCTTAGCTAAGCCCTTCAAGCAGGCTTGCAAGGTCAGCAGTTCTTCCGTTTTGGATTAACAAAAATCGGGGGTATGAATCGGGGTATGAATCGGGGGTATGGTTCGGGGTATGATTCGGGGGTATGGCTCGCCCAACAAGCCCCACCTCCCACGAAGACTAAAGAACTGACACGGTAAAAAAAAACACAGACCCATATATATATATATATATATATATTAGTAGGGGAACCCAAAACCAACCAAAGAGTACAGAGGTTAGAATAAGTTGGTCTATTTTAGTAGGGCAACCCAAAACCAACCAAAGAGTAGAGAGGTTAGAATAAGTTGGTCTATTTTAGTAGGGCAACCCAAAACCAACCAAAGAGTAGAGTGGTTAGAATAAGTTGGTTCCAACCTTCTTTTTTTTTCTGGTTTTGTCTACTTTAGTAGGGGAACCCATGTTATGGCGAGCTTACTATTCGGGGGTAAATCGAGCTGCTCGGCCTTGAACTGTAAAATGTCTCACCAGCACCCCCCAGCTGCTTTTTCCCATGTCCAAATTCCCAAGCACTATCCAACAAGCAGCGGTTGGGGGCTGCTGCTGACGGGCTTTTTGGCAGACTAGGTCCCCCAGCTAGGTACCCTTTTACCAACTTGTTGGGTTGATTTTGGGTTCCCCTACTAAAACCGAGACCAACTTATTCTAACCTCTCTACTCTTTGGTTGGTTTTGGGTTCCCCTACTAAAGTAGACAAAACCAGAAAAAAAAAGAAGGTTGGAACCAACTTATTCTAACCACTCTACTCTTTGGTTGGTTTTGGGTTGCCCTACTAAAATAGACCAACTTATTCTAACCTCTCTACTCTTTGGTTGGTCTTAGGAGGATATAGGCAGCATGGGCAGGCGTCCAAAGAACCTCGCTGTGGCTGGGATTAAAACATACATTGCAACTTGTTGGGATGTAAGGCAAATGGAACTTGACCAGAATTGGCTTAGGCAAGCGGTTCCCTCCATCCAAAAGGCGGTCCAACTGGACTCAGCTTTCTGCTGATTGGCGATTCGGAGTGGATGACAGCGGCTTCTGACGCAATGGTTGCGTGGCAAGCTTCAGGGCGCCTCCGTTTTTCAGGCGATACAGTCCAAATTGATAAATTGATGAACATGTCTCTGCAAAAACGAGAAGGCATCAATCCTCGGTGGTTTCCTCTCAGGAGAAACAAACAAGTTTAGGCTCTCCAATACCCAGCGTCCTGTTAAAACCACCTAAAAACCTTGTGTCACCTGACCACAACGGTGCCACGGCCTTTCGACTTGTTGCGCCCTCTTTGAATTGAGCCAAGTCATTGGCAGTACTGTTCGAGCGGCGAGGAGCCAATCCACCCCTCGCCAACAGACTGCGGGTCGCAATCATGGTCCCCTTCTGTTCCCGACCCATCAAAAAGCTGCGTTCAAAAGCCAAACACCGCGACGCCTCCTCTTTCCTTTCTGGCATGGCCGTTCGGGGCTGCTGTCAACACCCCCGTTCCAGTTGCGTTGGCCCGCCCATGGTTTTCTGGCGGCATGTTTTTGGGTTGTGTACTCCGAAGGGTTTCTCCTTACTTCCTGTTAAAAAATAGTCAATCCACAAACAAATGTGGATTTCCTCTTGGTCTCCCTGAACAAATACCACCCCCTTTTTTCTTGGGGGGGGGGGAGGGGCTGCCTCACACCCGAAAATCTCGACAAGGGCGGGTTTTCGGGGCCCCGAGGCCTCCATCAAGGCGCGCATGCGATGCCGCATCGCCGCCTGCGGACGGCTTGGACGCAGCTAACCTCTTGGGGCCATGACTCCAACTGGAAAAAGGATAAACTGCCAGAAAAAAAATCAAAGGGTTTGGTTACAGGAAAATCTACAGGAAATGGCCCCAAAACACCCTAAATCAGCTGTTTCCTGTAGAATTTCCTGCAACTCAACCCTTTGACAAATCGGTCGGCTTTGGGCAATTGATATGGGAAAAGGGGAAACCACAACTAGAAAAGGTGAAAAAGAAAGGTCGGCGTTGGGCAATTGATAAGACTTTAGGACAACTTGAATCGGAGAATGGATGAGAAAACTGAAGTCAAGCCATCCTGACGTGGGGCTTTTTGTGTTTCTTTTCTTTGTGTTTATCGAAGAACTTGTCGGGGCTGACCTACCATTGGGGGGGCCCCCCGACAGCCCCTTTTACAAAGGGAGTCAAAAACCTACCATCGGGGGACCCGTGGCCTCCTGCCGCGACTGATTTGCGTCACACAAGGTCTAGTGTCTAAAAAATAACCAAAGAGTCACCCCGAGCGCCAACTCAGTCGTCTCGAGCCAAGAAAACCCTGACATGTGCACCCAATGTGCAAACATTCTTCCGTCGAGAGGTCCATGGCAATTCCAAACTTGCCGGGGCTGTGCTAAAAGAGGAGACGAGCAGTTCGTCAAGCAGGCTTGGGATGGGGAGACCATCCCTGGAGCCACGCTCTCTTGCGCTCTCTCTCGCTCCCTCTCTCTCCCTCTCTGTCTCTATCTCTCTCTCTCTCTCTCTTTCTCTTTCTCTCCCTTCTCTCTTTCCTTCTTTTTAACCCTCTCGCTCTCGGTCTTACATAAGCTTAGCTTGTGGTTATTTGTGCAAGCCCCGTTCATAGAGTTTCAGCATGGTTACAAAGGTCCGCAAAGGCCTTGTTTTGTGCCCAAGAAACGAGTAGAACCGCTGCTTGCACGTCTTTGGCAAAATGGTGACTCCTCGGTACAGCCAACACAAGGCACACCATCGCATCAAGGGCAAGTCCTCTTCACAACTGGCCTCAGCCCAAAGATGGATCTGGGTTTGTTTTGTCTTGATTCAAGAACCTTCACCATGCCGGTGGCACAAACTGCAGCCGCAAATGTCTGCCCGCTTTGAGGCCCTTCTTCACATCGGCCTGTCCGATGTCCTCCTTGGGGCTGATCTTTCGCACCACCTCAAAGATGTCCGCGGCAGGGCGCTTGACCTCGGATCGGAGGATTCTGCATTCGAGGCGAACGGTCTTTGTCAACATGCGGCGCGTGTTTTTTTTCTGCTTCCCGACTTTCTTTGGCAACGTGACCGGAATTTTCCCCAAGGGACGGCAAACCCTGCCATACACTTGGAGCCAATTCTATGGGCAAGCTAATTCTGTGCCCTTCCGCGCAACCCTCTGTGCTGAGGGGTACCTTCCACGCAACAGATTTCTATGCAAGTGCTTCCGCCTGGAAGGATACTTCCGCACAGGCCCTTTGCAGATTTTGGAAGCAAACGTGGGCGAAACTGCAGGTGTGTGCTTGCATGCCTGTTCCCAAGTTGGAGGTTGCCGTTCCGCGATCCTTGTCTCTTTTTTAAGAGGAAAATCATTTCAATTGCTTGGAGGGGCTTCCAAGTTTGCAGATGTGGCTCACGCTTGCATGTGCGCCTCTAGACTTCTTTGCTTGAGCGATTTGAACCTGCCTTCATGCCCTTGCTTGGTGTCAATAGTGGTGGAACACGACAAAATTGCAAGACAAGTTGATGCCTGGAAAAGAGACCAAATGTGGACATCTTGGTCATTTGAGGCTCCCCACATACAACTAATTATCAGCCACTACAGCAGGTTGCCAGGGAGTCGCAAAATTAGATCATGGTTTGCAATGGTAACCTACGGCAATTAGTAACTGGAAGCACCACAAACAAATAAAGAAGCGGTCAATCGCAGCAGACACAAAAGACCGACTCCCGCTTTGCGCGCGACAGTGTCGATGATCAAGAGGACCACGTCGCTTTCTTGGTAGCCCCTCCAGGCCTGCGCAGGTCGCTATGCTTTTGCCTGCACGTTTTTCCAATAGTTAGAGGATCGCTGCGCAGGTCGCTTGGAGAAGAAGCTTGAAGGGACAAAGCAGGCCTGCAAAGTTGAAAGCGACAACGCGAGAAACTATTATATACAAGGGCTCGGCCAAAAGGGAAGTTCCTTTTCTGACTCGCCCAAATCTTGGAGCACACTGTAGGGGATAGGCTGTTTCTCGCCCTTAGACCTGCTATTTGAATAGCATCCTCCAAGCAGTTGTGACTGTTCTCACCTGTTCGCGTAGCAAAATTCACTGCAAATGCGAGGTTGCTGCGTGATCAGGTTCGGCGAAGGCGAGTGCGACAAGGCCTGCCAGTGTCAAGCACATCGCACAAAGCCACTATGTGGAAACACTCCCGTGTACTTTCACCATCTAACCTCTAAACCGTTTCTTGGCATCTCCTTGTTTCGCACCGCTTGATCATTCGGAACCCTCCGAAGCCGCTCGCCTGCCCGACCAAGTCCCTATTCTCCACCCGCTGATGCGAAGGGATAATCCTGGCCACGGGATGGGAAAGAAACACAAGCTGGACTTGAGGTTGATCAATGTGGCACTTGCTTTCGTATGACCCCCCCCCCTTTCCATGGAACCGCGCCAACAGTGACTTGGGCCTCGTCAGATGGAAAACATGTGGTCTAAATTCGACTTGGACCTCATCTAGTATTGCCAATTCGTATTTAGTATTGCCAAGGCTTACTCGAAGATTTCCAGCACTAAACTTAGTATTGCTAATATTCAATTCGGTATTGTCAAGACTTGTGCTCAGATTCTCAGTACTTAATTGGATTTTCTCTTCGGGGAGTAATGTCGGAAGGGAACATGCTATACAGACTGCTCAACTCTCAGTGCAACGCTTGCTTCTCCCAGTGCGTCAGAACCACACGATGTGGACGCTTGCACGTGTTGAGCCATCCACAAAGGGCCCCGCCTGCACAAAAACAACAACATACAAACATGGCTACAAGCAAACCAGCCACACGTCATGATTTCAAAGGGCTTGTCCTTGTTCTCTACTTCCTGTCTGCTCGTGCGTGGGGAATCAACGCTTCTCTGCTACTAGGGACCTCCGCAGCCTGTGAGCTCAGCCAAACCCCCAAAGGCAGCTTTCCCCGCCAGTATGGCAGTAAATCCAATACCAACAGCCCGCCAACCCGCCGGGTTCGGTGCGTCAAGAATCAGCATTGTCATATGATTATGAGGGAATCGGGTCAACAGTACCCCGTTACGCTGGGGTGTCTGAATGAGGAGGCCGGTTTCTGCGGTTTTAAAGGAACATCAAAATGAAACCCACCCATTTGCGGGGGGGAGAGTAGCGCCCATCGAGCCAAACCGGGTCAGGTTTGACTCAAAGCCATGGCCCTCGCACGAGCTGAAATGCCATCTTCAGATTCTGGCAGAGGCCAACGGTGAAAGAGGCCCCGCCCCCCCCCCCCGCCCCGGCTGTCCCGGGCACGTCCAAAAAGACCAACTGCGTATTGCCGATGGTCTTCACCCCTCTGATGCCCTCGCGTGTGGTGTTCACCTGACCGGCGCGTTTAACGCGAGCCCTGTTTCTTGACGCGGCTTCTTTTGGCGGTGAGGGGAGTAGACATCATATATCCGACTCGCATGGCCATTTCGATTTGCGGCTTCCTTTGTTCTCTGGGTGGTTGAAACCAAAACGGGCGCTGAGGCTGTCGAAGCTGCCGGGATGCTGGTGGCATTTTGCGCCCCCTAAGGGCATCCCAAGAAAACTTTCCGAAAGGTGGGTTTCAATCGTTGGACTTGGGGATGGTTTTGCCTGTGCGTTGTGTGCCCAAAGAAAGTCATGGAGCCCGACACAGCACGAGGATTGCCATCATCCTGCCTCCAATCTAGCAAAACTATAATATATATGTATATATGTACGTATATATATATAAATATATATATATATATATGTGAACCGGTATGAACTTGTTGAACCCCTGATTTATTGTTCACAGCAAATAGGCATGGATTCTTGGATAAGGTTATACATATATATATATATACATCCAGCCTTTGAGAATCATAAACGCTAAGATCGGCAGATTACTTCCAGCAAAGACCTTGTGGCCCTTCAACGACTTCTATGAGAGAGCAGAAGCTCGATCTGACGGTAATCTGGGCCCCTTTGGGTGGACACCAGTTTGCGATTCATGTCCACCACGAGAACGTGGTTCCCAGTCTTAAGATGCGGCATATATGGGTGCGTCTTTTTGAGGGGCTCTCCCCCGCAAAAATAAATAAAAAACCAAACCCCAAACTCTGCTCGGTTCCGAGCGCTCGGGTCCGAGCGGTTCCTGGAACCATTGCAGTGGAGTTGAAGATTTGAAACGCCCGAGCGAAGAGCTTGTTCCAAATTGGACCGGGGAAAGTCTAACCCAACATTATGACTTGCAGATCCCGTCGCCACTAATTTGCCACTTAGGGGATCTCCCTACGACGGAAAGTGGCCTGCCTGAAACAGAACAACTTCCCCAGATCCAAACAAATGCCTCTTGCGAATCCATCGCACCCGCCTTCGGCGACACTGCGCTGATGGGGCCTGAGCCGAGACCGTACTAAGTGTCTTTCTTGGACAAATCGATGGGCACATGATCCGAAGCAAATTGCAAACCGTGGAATCCACCGAGTCTCAACAAGACTGCCATAAACGAACACATATATGTTACATGGTCCAGCTGCTTTTCGAACCATTTCCGTAGGACGCTTCTCAGCAAGTGCATTGGAGTATCCCAGAAAACCGCAACGCTGTCCAAGCTGGCAATGTGCTGAGGTCAGGTCATTCCAAGATTGCGTTCATCAAGGAAGACTTGCCAGCCTCGGCCAGCGCAACCCCAACCCCAACGTATTTTGGGGTGGGCGCCCGTGTATTTGGAGCTGTTCCTCTCCAGGGGTTATGGCTACTAGGCTACGGGCTTTATAGCCGGACAGAGCAACATTCGACCCTGAGAAACCTTGTGTGTTTTGGCCGCTTCTCAGCTCATGCAACAATCACTAGGTGAACCCGCTGCGGACTCGGCGGGTCGACCCTAAAAACAACTTATGAATTTCCGCGTTGTTCCCTTTCGGGGGTGCAAGAGAGAGGACAAAAAGAGAGCTGGTGTAGGGTTGGTTTAGGCTTGGTGTAAGCTTGGCGAGGTTTGCTTTAAGGGTGGATTTAGGTTCGATTTAGGCTTGGTTTGGGGCTGTTTTAGGATGTTGCGGATGGGTCGGTTTACGGGTTTAGGCGTAGGCTTGATTTAAGCTTTGGGGGCTTGTAGGGTCGCTGTAGGCTGGTTTTCGATTTTGGCTTGTTGGTTTTCAAGGGATTCACTTGGGAGCTCCTTTGCACTTTTATAGCCCAAGAAAGGAGGGGGAGGGGGGTTTGATGTTTGGGACCCTAAGCAATCAAAGGGCGCCAGGGCCCCCCAAAACAAGCGCCTAACCCACCCAAAAAACCCACCGAGGCCGACTCGAAACACCCTAAAGCAAACTCAACCCAAGCACAACAACCAAGGCTAAACCCACCCTGAACCAAGCCGAAATTTTCTCCCAACTTGAGCCAAGTCGAAACCAACTGTAAACACACCTGGGGCTGATAGTCCTGACCATGACATGATTTACATACACATGGGGCTGGAATGAAGGCAACCGCCCCTTGAGCTCCCAAGATTGACACTGCACTCAAGTTTTACTTCGCCGTCTGACAAATTGTCACGTCTGTCTTAGACACCCTTTCCGGCGGTTGCTTCTAAACCAAAAAAGACAAACAAACAATGGCCCGTCGCGCTGCGCGCTTTGCCATGGTCGCTTTCGCGCGGTCCAACTGAGTCTGCCACATTTGGCGGGCCCATCAAGCCTCGCGGCAGCAGGTGTTGGAGTGCTCCGGGAATTCGCTCCCTATGGACCTGCATGTTGCTTGGTTTTAGGACATTCCTGGTTTGAAGTTGGTTGTTCTCGAAAAGACACCTTGGCTAGCAATGCTATTATGCACCACCATGTTGCTGTGCGATCTTCCTGCTGACTTGGCAACAGTTCTTTCAGCAAACCGCGCAAATCACTCTTACAACACAGTGGGGCAATTTTCAGGGCTCGTAATTTGGTGAAACAAGCTGATCAACTGGACTGACACGCACGCCGGGGGCAGATTTTAACACAAATAGAAGCTAATGTGAGTCTGTGTGCGTGCGGACACATCTGACTTGAAACGGCAAAGATCTGTGTTTGTTCTTTGTTTTGTTTTTTGGGGGACAATTCGATGTCTTCGTGGGCCCAGGCTCACATATTTCCTTCTTGGCCTGTTTGTTCTTGAATTGGCGTTTTTGAGCGATGGGCATGCTTGTGACAGATGTCACACAGAAGAAACAAAAGTGAAGCCGCCCTTGACGTTCACCAAAAAATCAAGTGTTGACACTAAGGCCGTTTCAGGATGCTCTCAGGAATGGAGTGCCTCCTACCACTGCATTGACCTCCTTTTCCTCTCTTGTCCGTGTGTGTGGCATGGAGCCTGCCCAAGGCGACATACAGTTTCACACGTTGGCCAAAGAATTGCTCTGCCCTCAAAAAGACACGGGTCCCTTCAAAGGGAATGGTCTTCCAACATACGATTTGTACCAAACTGTTTTAGGATCCTGGGCAGTGCTCTTTTCACTATTGAAATCTCCAATAACGGCTATCTGCCCTTTCAGAACACCAACAGCCAAGTAGCCAAGACTTTCAGAGCCCACAACTAAAATCTCAACGCCACCATCTCGCGCACCTACCCGCAGCATGCGTGGCTCTGCTGGTTGCACCTCGGCTTGATGTGACAGAGCCTCCCGTCGCCAAGTCAAAAACTCGGCTGAGGAGGAGTTTGGGGTTCACCAAAATAAGACACACATTATTTTTGGGCAGGCTGGCCAGAAATCGAGTTCCCCGGTCGGAAATGGACCTCTGCGTGATCCCAGTCCTCTTCTTCATTAGAAAATCAAGACGGTGTGCTTGTTTTCTGAGGGATCAACTGTGAAGGGACCCCTCCCTTTGGCCAACAGAACCATAAATACTTGAGAGAAGAAACCGAGAACGGAGCTTTCTGCATAGCGACTTGACATCCAGTGATCCGCGGCTTGTGGCCGCGCGCGTGGAAAGGGCTCAGAAGACTCGGGCTTGAATCGGCTTGAAGCCAGAAACAGGCGAGCTCCTTTAGAGGGAATCGCTTCGGGCAATCGTCCTAGACCCGAGAAAGGCACCAGAAGGCCGAGGCCAACAAGAAACATGGACGCATTTCACTCGCACATTCTGAATTCAGGCACGAGAAGCCTGGAAATGCCTGGTGTCTTTAAGCAAGTCCTTGTTGTGGGCCGCAAAGCATTGCCTGGCCACGTTCTGACCCACTAGTGGCTTCTACTTGACCAATGTTGCATGGGCTACTTAACCACATCCAACTGGGAATCGCTTCGGGGGATGGCTTTGGGCGGAGGCGGGCTGTGGGGAGAACAAAACGCATCTTTTGCAGCGGGATTGAGGCATCGCAGCCACGGTTGAGATCGACTCGGACCTGACGCCAGCACCAAAAGCCAATGCCGACAAGCCAAACACCAATGCAGGTGTGAATTATAGTCATAGTGGTTACAGTGGTTACATTGGTTTGACAAAAGTCAGATGTCTCCCAAAACCATGCATGTCAAACCATCTTATATAACTCTTTGGCTTTCTGATCAGAACGCTCTTGCGCATATCACATCCCCACCAGGGCCAATCTCACACCAAACCCAATCGCCCCCCCCCCGGCAATTGCTGAGGACATGTGCCTTTTGCGATCTTCTAAACGCACCAACTCTTGGGCTGGGTGGCAAATCTATCCTGTCCAAAGATCAGCTTTGGGGCAGTGGTTGCACAGTGAGGTTTACCTCAGCTCCTTTTTTTGGACTGGGCTGTTCGAAATCAGCTCTTAGTCCTTGTGCCTTATGGCAAATATAGTGGTTTCCTGCCCTTCAAATAGAAAGTGAGCCACATGATCCCCCCTAGCTTCAGGAGGGGTGGGTGGGTCCCCAATTCCATTTATCTACTGTTCCCCATAAAATGGAACCAGAAATGGAGATCTCCAAAAGTCACCCCCCTTCCCACCTCCAATTTTTAAGGGGCTGGGGATGCCACATGCCCCCAGCTCTTGGCCCCGGGCCGGCTTCTCCCAGCTGCGGAACCGCGCCTCCGCAGGAACCGCCGCCCTGACCTCAGGCCGTCAGGCCATGCCCGGGTCAAAGGCTCCCAAGATCCGGATGGGCATGGCTCAAAAAAAGCCGGAAGTCCATGGGTTGCCCTGGGAAGTGGAAACATGGGCCGAAACCTGCGTAACCCTAGCTTTTTAATTTTGAGCCTGCCAAACCAGGACTCAGTCAGGTTCCATGTTGGGCGTGTCAGGAAACTCCTCCGCACCACCCCGAAAACGTCAGGTTTCCATGGAACCAGAGGGTCCTGTGAGGCAACTAGTCCAAACCAGCACCCCGAAACGTCAGGTTCCATGCGGGTGGGAGGGGTGCTGCTTCACCACGGAAATATGCGCCTTTGCTTGGGCCGTGAAGGAGCTCCGCAGAGATATGCCCTGCAAGACTTTCGTCTGCGAGAAGTTGCAACGGAGCTGCCAGAAGATCTGCCGCTGCCTTTCGAAGTTGAAAGCAAGATGCACACGACGCAACTCACTCCACTCAGACTCAGCTGCCACCTCGTCCGACTTTAGCCACTGCTTGAAAAGCGGGCTTGCCATGCCTTTCGAGATTTCGCTACCTAGCAGCGCGGCTCGAAGCAAAACCGCTTTGTCGCTTAGCTAGCCCTTCCAAAACGCATGCGGCCTGTTGGCTCACAATGCAATCTCAAATCAAGGTTTGATCTGCGCAAATATATTTGAAGTGCGTCCACATGTGGGAGTGCAAACATTTGGAGGGGTTCTCAGAATTACTTCTGCTGGTCTCCATTGCAATTTGGAGTTTGTAAATTTGAGGATCGAACATTGGAAGCAGTTCTGGTTGGCCAATGAAACGGTAGCTTGGGATGCTTCACTTTGGGGTCATTCCCTGAGGCGAGAACCGGCAAGGAAGGCAGTATTGGGCATGGGAACAGAAGTGAGTGAGTCCATCTGCAGAAAAGAGTTTCCAAGCACTTTGTGCGGATCTTATTTTAGAAGCCTTGGTGGAAATTGGTCAACTTGTGTGCCAGAAGGCCTTCCCAATAACTTCTTCCCTTTTCACTTCTTTTAGGACAAGGCTTTCCTGGTGTGGGAACCCTCCCGCCATTCCACCAACATTCCACAACCCTCCCAAACCCTTGCGGGTTTGTTTGACCCGTAGGCCTATTCAGCACATTCAGCTCAAACTTATTTGGTGTCCCCTTAGTTGAGCGCCCTAAACCAATTTGGTTCTACCACGCATATTAGCCTTTCCGTCCCCACCAATTGATGCTGACCCTTAATTAATCTGCTGAAAAGGGACCCCCTTCATACCAAGTGGGAAGGGTGTATAAATCGGGGCATTGGCCCAGGTAGAACCACCTACTCAAATTGCCCCAAGGAGTTTCGGGCGCTTTGGAGCCACGCAGCCGAAGTGTATCACACACTGTTTTCGAACACACGCGGCCTCGAAACCCAGCAACAAAGATTCCCAAAAACGCGAGGACGTCTTCGCATCCGGAACCAAACCTCCAAACTTGATGTCCGATGTTGCTCCCTTTCGTTTCGAACTCATATTCCACAGCCTTTTGGCACACAATCCCCAGGCACCGTGTCACACTGATCTGCTATAAATCCCAAATCCAAGCCTGGTCTCAAGAGAAACAATCACCGCAACCCAGGGAATGGCCTCATGAACAGCTAATTTCCCATGAGGAACAACCGCTTCCCTGCAACCATTAGCCACTCCAATCTTTCTAGCAACTCTCTTGAGAAATGATGCCAGGTCTCTCAAAGAAACAAACTGCTAGCTTTGCATGACGTTCAGCATCCCTGCAGGTACCCTGGAAAACAAACACCTCCTACCCGACAAAGGGGCACCATACCTGATCTTGGAATCTTTCGGACGCCTTCCGGATAGAAACACAATTTTACGTTGAACACTTAAAGTATTGAGTGGTACCCGGAGTCCAACACATTTCGGTGAGTTTCTCAGTTCCAACCCATCCAAGCGAACTTTGAATGGTGTCCTACATTTGGGATCCCTCCTGTTGGTTGGAACACCAAACGCACACCTATCGTCCTTAAGGAACTCCCCAAAAGGAGTTGCTCAAAATTCAGGCAGCCCCGAATGGTTTTCAAAAACAATACGCCCCAACCGCGTGGTCTTTTGATTTCCCCAGCCCCCTCCCCGCCCGCCATGTGGTCCCAACGCAAGGCACCTCGTTCTCCAGAGTTCCGAGGCCCAGGCATAGCTCAGCGGCCGCTTCGGCTGCAGGAGCTCACGCAGTTCGGGGACCTGGCCAGTCGGGGCGAATGGTTCAACTGGATCCGGCGCAAAGTCAAATGGACAGCACCTGGACAAGTGACTTCAGTGGTTGTGGTTGTGCATCCAGGGTACGTTCAGTTCAGGTTTGGACCTCTAATCTGTTGGAGTCAGGGTTTTGGGGAGCAGGCCAATCAGAGCCCTGAGAAACAAACACCGCTCGCTCGGCAAATGATTCAGAATCGGATTGCCGCTGAGGGCGCCCTTTGCTCACTTCCCGAGGCCTAAGCAAGCCTTGACTCTGTATTTACCACTATGGTCTTGCCAAAAAGTAAGTCCAGAAACTCAGGAGGAAGCCACTCTGGTAAGCCCATGGCACATTGCAGGGCGGCTTTGAAGCGCATTGGAACCCAGCGACTTTCCGCAAACCTCACAGGTCCTTCTTTCCGCAAAGTCCGGAGCATTGACGCAGTTGGAGCAGACTTCAAATGGTTTCCTGCTCCAAATGAAATGGGTGTCTCTGTCTGTGTGTGTGTGTGTCTGTTTTTAAGGGTACCCTGCTTTTTTAAAGGGACACCAAGAGCACAACAAAACCAACGATTTTCGGGGGTCCTCTACAACAAGTCACACCCAACTGTCTATACCCATCCCGCATCCGGGCCATTGGCATCAGAGCCCCTGCCCAAGAAGCACGGGACATTCCCTTGGTCGCTGCCTCCCGTCGCTCCCTTGGGATTCCTTCCGAACGAGGCGCTCCGAGATCTACTTCTTAGAATCCAACCGGAAGGCCCATGAAATACAAATTGTCGCTCGCACACTTGACAGGTTTGCAGGAGTGAGCCGCCATGGCGCTCTCTTTTTCCAAGGGTACCTGTTTTGTGATGTTCAAGGGAAACCAACAGGAAACCATCCATTTTGGCGGGTGGCCAAAAAAACTGAGTTTTGTGCTTTACCCAATTTCTGGTCAAGTTCAGACAGCTCTGAACTTGCTGGCTTAGACGATTTGTGTTTTGAATCGCGGTGGCAACTTTGCTTCCAATTCGAAGGGTGCGCATGGCAAGGCCATTCCAAGGGAGCGCATGGCAACGGAAAATTTCTGTACCCGTGAGACTCTCAGAGTCTCAGCTGCCCTGTGCTTGCAAGACACGTCTCTAAGACATGTCTCAACACCCCAGAATTGATTCATTTGAGTGGATGGATCAGCCTCAAAATTTCTGTAACAACTCACATGGGGTTCCCCAACATGTTTTTCAAAGTCCCAGGAACCCAAGTGAGACAAACATCTCTCCCCATGCGACAACTAAAACAAATACTCCAAAGCCACGCCCAGTCGCCGGGTCCTTGGCCTTCAGATCGTTTGTTACCCGGTTTTGGGGGGTGCAGTGCGTGTTGACCACAAAAAACAAAGAGACACCATTCATTTTGGGGGTTCTGTTGTGTTGGGGTTTACAACCTCAATTTTTAAGGCGGAATCATGCATGTTGGACCTAACAAAAGGATCTTCTTAGGGTATCTTGCAGGTAGGTCCAGGTAAGCTCGCCGCGCTTTGGCGACTTGGGGCTCTCTGCTGTGCCCAAGAGCAGCCCCTGGAAGATGTGGCGCGCTGGAATTGTCCCGCTAAATCGGATCCAACAAATGAGTCATCAAACCCCGGCATCAAGACGGGCCCGGAACCATGTAAAGAATTACGAAGCCGGAATTCCGCAGCTATATATGGTTATCCCTTACTAACGTTCATCTAGCCGGGTTTTGAGCAAGTGGCTCAAATGGGCGTGCCGTCACAGTCCTTTGTGATTCTGGGGCTTTCACGGGAAACCGTAGAAGGAACACCCACCCCAAATGGGTTCCCTTTAGGATGCTATACACACGGTTGTCCTTGGGTGCAAGCAGAACCCGTTGAACGGGTCTGATGGAAGCATGGACAGATCGAAACCAAGACAAAAATGGCACCTCTTGATGATTGATGGATCCCAACGCCTGCACGTCACGCGACCGTGACATGCAAACTTGATTCTGGCTACGGAGTCACACTGCAACCTCCTTTCGTGTGTCACCGCGGGTTCCATTGCGCCCCACAGAAGTCGCCGCATGATTCGGCTGCCTCGGGCCCGAAAAGACGGTCGAAACCGAGTCCGCGTCACTCGGAGATGTGTGGCGAGGCTCGTTGCGAGGCAATGACCTCAGTCTGATTTCAGAATTGAGCGGTGTTCTAAACCCAGCGGGGTAAGAGAAGAATCCAGTTTTGCCAAGGCGTTTGCAGAGCGAAGGTTTTGCATGAGAGGTTCCTTTCGCTCGAGGTTTTGATGAGGTAATCGCTTTCGCGTCGTTTCCGCAGATTGCGAAATGGACTTGAAGTTCGTTTTCGCTTTCCCTGACAGGAACAAAAACAGTTTCGTAGGCAAACAGGTCCTTTCGCGACCCTTGCGCAAGTACGTAAGTAACAAACCCCATTCCCACCCTGGTCCCGGGTCCCTTTGTTTCTCCGGCCTCGTTGGAAGTCAAAAGGCAAACCCCTGATTCAAGTCCAAAAGACGCCAATCCCCTTGTGGCTTGGCTATGGACCATTTTGTAGGACGGCACTATGCATGTAAAAGCGAAATAAGTAGAAGCACCTGAAGGGAACCTTCCTGAATCAGTGAGCCAGGCAGTTTGCGGCCCAGCCGCCCTCTCACCCATTTCCGGCGCTCGAGTTGGAATTCGCTCTGTTTGGATGTAGATTATTAGAAGGATGAAGTGCATTTGAGTCCGAGAAAAATTGTCTAAACTTCAAACCCGCATGCCCGAGCCAGTCTCAGTGCTCCATGCAAGCGAGCGACAGCTTGCTACACCCTTATCTCTTGCAGCTCCGGCCTGGGCTCCTGTCGAGAACGGCAGTCAAAGAAATTGGAGGGTTGCTGGGCCCAATGGTTTGACTGTCGGGAGTCGTCAGTCAGAAATGGCTCGACCAAACTTCGTGAGCAGAACCATCGGCAAGGATAGTGTCTGAACCTAACGCCCTTTAACATGACAGCCTGCTTGGCCTGCTTGCCCAGGCACAATATTTCCTCATTCCTCTGCAACCTTCTGTCTTCTCTTGGCTTTCTTAGCTCAGCCCGTGTCAAAATGCAACTTCAACAAACGAAATGCAAATACTGGAACATACTTCCGAAATGTGGGAAAGTACGATAGGTCAATCAATCGGAGATAAGGGCCCTATGAAAGGAGGCTTTGGCTTCGCCTCACTATGGCTTGCCCAGAATCATCCATCCCTGCAGTGCCCTACACTATGGACTCTGCCATCTTTGCTTCTACTTCGCTTCTCTCACTCGCTGCATTTCCGTTCTAGTGTTTTCTGGGATTGTAAAATCAATCTAGACCCACCTGGAACCACTTTCCGATGGTCTGTTGCTTGTGTTCTGTGGTTTCTCACGCGTGTGCACTAAAGAAGCTTGAGTTCGCAGGCGGACACAGCGCGCAAACGCAATGGGTTGCAAACATCGCGCCACCTCAGCTGTCAAACAAATTCTGTCAACACATCTTAGACTCACACCAGCTCCTCTTTGCAAACATATAGGCAACATAGGTCATGGCACAATGTCAGCACCGCAACAGCTACCACGCGCAAAAAGGCGTGCGATGTCTTGGTGCAATCCAATTCTGATTCAGAGCCCTACCAATGGGAGCCGTGGGAAGGCTACAATCGTCCCAATGGCCCTTAGACGAATGGTCACTACAAGGCTGGTTCCCTGGTTCCCCATGGCTCCGAAGCATCTGTCTTGCCCTTTCCTGCGAGTCGCAGCCACGGCAAGCGGAGGTGAGGAACCGCATGGGCTTGGCCGAGTCCCAGTACGCGCAAAGCCGGTCCTCCTGCCAAGGTCGCATGGATTCTCAACCCATCAGGTGTCGTTTATGTACAACCCCCCCTTCCAAAAAAAAAGGCGGTTGGTTTTCCTTTGGTTTCCCTCATTGAAACCACCAAAACGGTGCCCTCAAAAAACCACACCCGCTTAGCAAGCGTATGATAAGCATGGCAAGATACCAACATTGCAGCCCAGCAAGAAGCTATAACCATGTCGATTGCACGTCCAAGTGGTCTTGAGGGCATGGCTAGGTCGTGGATACCGATGTACGAGACTTGGAGAACCATCACCACTTTGCACTGCAAAAAAATCGAGGCCCCGTTTCGTACCTCATTGTATGTTGAACAGTTCCGTTTACAAAAAAAACAACACATATATTATTCATAGCATATAACACAACCAAAATCAGTTTCCGCAAGCCATATTTTCCAGCAACAAGCATGAGGAAACTAACCAACTAATATATATACATATATATATATATATCACCCAACAATATTGTTGCAGGGGGGCTAAAGCCCCCCAAGCAAAACGGTGCTTCCCCCCCGAAGCCCCACGAGAGCTTCTGGATTTGTTCTTGCCATGGACTCTTAGTCTTTTCAAACGCCCCCCTAAAACCTCAATACCGGAAGAAGGAGGCTGGTTTCCACTACCCCCAAACCACTACCCGCAAAGATAAACCGGGTACACAATCGTTATCCCATGAAACCCGAAGATGTGTGGGGAAAACCGTGGAGTGTCTATCAAGAGTTTTCCGGTCCTCCTCTGTGGGTGCCAAAAAGGCCGGTTTTCGCTTGGACGGGTTCAGCACGAAGCGCTTCCTGTCCGACATCTCGTAGGGCAGGAAGCGGGGCCCGTGGGGCGCCGAGCCTCGGCGTCTGCGCCGGGCATTTGTTTTGTTTCCCCAACAAGACATGGTAAACTAGCGGATCGTTTGTGGAAAACTTGGCCCTCATGTCCAGGCTGCAGGAGATTTTGGCAGGGGTGAGGCTGCTCTTTTAAGGGTACTTAGGTTTTTGGGGTTGTTTGTGAGGGACACCAAGGGAATGCACTCATCCCGGACCTTCTTATGAAGACCGCCACCCCGCACTTCGAAGAAAACCAGTTCTTAAGGCAGGCATCTCTTAAGGCAGGCCATTTCTTGCAGGGGGGCAACACGGCAAGTTCGATTCCTCACTCTGCCAGGGACACACT